ACCCAGCGTGCCTGGAGAGAGTACATCCACAGCGAACCGCCGCTGGGTGGTGGGGGTTTATCCGTGCCTTGGTTTGGATTTCCGGCGCGCGTCCAGACCCTGGTCCCCTGGATATGCGCTTAGCTCGTCTGGCGAAAGGGCTGGGTTCCTTGAAGAGGCGCTTATGAGTATCTTACTACGCGGTTATCGATCTGGGGTTCGGGGGTGCAGGGATGAGTGGATCATCTCCATTTCGGAGTCTTCCTCGTGGCGCCGGAGGGAGTGGGCTTTGTGCGCAGCTGAGACCCCCGTACGATTTACATTCCAGTCAACTTCATCTCCTACGAGGATTCCATTAGGAGGTTGTTGTCTCGTCCAGCAACGACGTGACGAGCCGTGTGAACTGAAATGGCGGATGGCTTGCGGAAAGGGTTGGGCGAGCGATGCAATAGACATGGGGATTGCTGTTGAAGGTTTTGGATGAAACGAATCGCCACTTCTTAAACACGGTAGTGGTTGAAGTTTAAGATGTCATAGCGGCCGTTGGGATTCCTTCGATTCTTGGGGCTCAGACAGTTGTGCGTAAATCATGAGGGGACGAGAGGATAGCGTAAAATTGGCGCTGGGGATGGCTTCGCTCGCAGGGGAGGGAAGCCGAGAGAAAAGTATGAAATAATTTGGAAATCTTATTCTGATGTCTCTGAATGGTATCCTTCCGCTCATCTATCGTGATATCTGTCGTTCTAAGTACAAAAATAAAATAAAATAAACATTTATTTCACACGCGAAAGAGACGCGGCCGACACGGCCGAGAAGATCTCCTGCTCAGCACCATTCTCCAACGGAAGCAAAGGTGATCTGACGGTGGCGTGTTCCAGAATGCCTCTCGCAACCAGCGCGTGCTTCAGGGCGACGGTGCCCTCCATGTGCGACCCCCTGTGGTAGACGGCCTTCGTCACGGGCAGCAGCTTGTCGTGGATCGCTCTCGCCTTGGGGTAGTCCTTTGCCTTACCGGCCTTGATCAATTCAATCAGGAGCTCGGGGGCGATGTTGCCGTATCCGACGAGCATGCCGTCGACGTCGAAGGTAGTGTGCAGGAGGTACTCGTCGTGGCAGGTAAGGATCTGGAGGTCGGGGCGCTCCTTGCGAATGACGGGGATCTCGGTATCCCAGCGCCTCATGTTGCGGACGCCGTTCTTCATGGCGAAGACGCCCGGCAGCGCCGAGATGTCGAGCATTGTCTGGAGGCTGTACGTCGCCTTGGTGTTGTCGGGGTACTGGAAGAGGATGAGGGGCAGGCCGCTGACCTCGTAAACCCTCTTGTAGCGGTCCTGCGGGGCACCGGGCTGGTAGCCGAACCGGAGCCAGCCGTGCGAGGGGTACAGCAGGCCAGCCGCGGCACCGGCCTCGCGGGCGCGCTTAGCCTCGATGGCGGCGACCTCGGTCCCCTCGCCCGTGATGCCGGCAATGATGGGGATGCGGTTGTCGACCGACTTGACGAAGGCCTTGATGACGGAGACCCGCTCATCCTGCGTCAGGAACGTGCCCTCGCCAGCGTGGCCGAGGACGACCAAGCCCGTGACGCCAGCGATGCTGCCGAGCCAGGAGCCGAGGCGCTGGATGGCGTCGTAGTCTACACTGCCGTCCTTGTTGAAAGGGGTGATGGGGGCGGGGGTGAGACCGCGGAGGTCAAGGCCGGCGTTAGATCCCATGTTTGTGTGAGAGAAGGTATTGTAGTGGGAGGTAAAAGGTATGGAGGGTCTTTGTAGACTGTAGTGATTGGATGTGTTGGTCTGAGGTGGTGGTGAAGAAAGCTCGATATGTGACTCGCGATGACCTGTTTTATAATACATCGAACTCCAGATTTGACCCCTCATCACGGCGGCCTCGCGTCTAACGAAGAGCCGAGTCGCGGCTACGAGCTCCGGAGAGCCCCAGCTTTTCCAGGACATTTACGGGAGGTATCGTCATCTGCAATACCTAGTGGCAACCTTCACGCCGCCTCCGCGCGCTCTTGGCTTCTCGGAAAAGCTGTCTGTCTTTTCCGGAAGCAGCCCGGATTCGTGAATCCGGGCTGAATCCGGAACTGCGTTTGATGTGCAGGGAAGCCCACCCACCTCCACAGAACCCACTCCAATGAGGAGAAGTGAGCTTGACCAATAGGTACGGAACCGGCCAGCCGAATGCGGGCCACAAGAGCTAGGAATCAGGGGAATGTCATTCCATCCCCATGCATTAGTTGTGCCGTATTGGCTATAGCCCAGGAGGAGTATGCATGGCATTCTGTACAAAGTCGTACTACACCACCTAGTGCAGATGTCTCCAGTATAGACCAGCTTGTTGATGTTTCCCTCATATCCGGGTTGTCCCAAGATATTGAAGCACTTGGAACCGACATGAGACGGCCCTTGTGAGTTGTGAGCTGGACAATTCCGGGTTCTTAGTCCGGCGGCGACTCGTGGCTCGTCGGCCACGAGACCGCCTTGTGGCTTTGCGCTAACGGCACAAAGGCCATACCTTTTTCCCTCCCAGAGAATCTATCTGGCCCACCCCCAGTGCCAAGTATGTTACCCCAGATTTGTATGTTCACCCGCTTGCCCCCCCCCGCAATACCAGATCCAGCTGGGGAATTTGTTGGCGGATCCCATTACCCAAGAGACGTGTGCCCACGTTCGTCTGTTGAGAGAAGTCTTTGGCTGCGCGCTCTTGAACTATAAAGCCGAGCCGCGAGACTTTCTCGTCTCGGGAACCTACACTGCCTCGTCCAGGATACCTCGCTACCTCGGGCTGTCGTCCACATAATCCTCGCACAAGCTTGTTCAACGTCGTTATCCGCACCAGTACATGTAGCAACATGGCCGTCGTTACGCGGACCTCTTCTGATCGCTCCGACATCGAGCATGTCTCCCCTGAGAAGGAGTCCATCCGGCATGACGAGTATCAGAGCCATGGCGGCATGAGGCCCGAAGATGTCGAGTTCCTCGCCAGCTTCCCCGAGGAGAAGAAGAAGAAGGCTGTCAGAAAGGTCGATGTACGTATCCACGAAACCTTGGACCGTCCCGTCAGCTATGCACGGTCGTTGCAACAGTGCACTTCAACTAACCCTGCCGTCACTAGTACCGTCTCATCCCGATGCTGGTGCTCCTCTATCTGATGGCCTACCTTGACAAGACAAACATCGGCAACGCAAAGATCGAGGGGTTGCTCCACAGTCTTGGTATGACTGGCGTGCAGTACAATGTTGCCGTCTCCGTCTTCTTCATCCCTTTCGTCTTGGCCGAAGTACCCAGTAACATGGTTCTTCATCTCTTCAAGAGACCATCACTCTACATCGGCGGCATCGTTACGTGCTGGGGCATCGTGATGACGTGCAACGGCGTTGTTCAGAGCTACGGTGGTCTGATCGCGGTCCGCATTTTTCTCGGGCTCTTTGAGTAAGCGTGAAGACGTGAATGTCTGCGAGGGCTTGCGGAGAGATGCTAACGAGTTTGCGCAGAGCAGGTTTCCTCCCTGGCGCCATCCTCATCATCTCAAAATGGTACCTCCCTAACGAAACGCAAACTCGAATTGCTCTTTTATACACCTCCGCGGCGTCTGGAGGCGGTTTCTCGGGACTGCTGGCCTTTGGGATTGCCAAGATGGACGGCGTAGGCGGCTATGAGGGTTGGAGATGGGTGAGTGCACGCAGATCAGCATTCCGGCGCAAGTCTTCTAACAAGCCCAGATCTTCATTCTCGAAGGGCTGGCGACGGTCGCCATCGGAGTCATGTGTTTCTTCTTCCTCATCGACTCACCCTCCCTATCAAAATGGCTCGACGAGGACGAGAAGCGGTACCTCATACTCCGCCAGGAATCGAGGCGGGTCGTCCGACCGGACGAGTTCCGAGACAGCCACTTCGACAAGCAGGCGTTCATCTCTGTTCTGACGGACTGGAAGATCTACCTCTTGATCTTGGTCAACTGGTCCAACGCGGTGCCCAACTACGCCATGAAGTTCACGATGCCCCAAATCATCAAGAACATGGGCTACACCTCGGCCAACGCCCAGCTCTTGACGATTCCTCCGTATGCGGTCGGCGCCATTTCGGCCTATGTATTCTCCGTCTTTGCCGACCGCCACTCCTGGCGTATGCCGTTCATCCTCGGCCCGCAGCTGTGCCTCGTTGTTGCTTTCAGCATCCTGTTTGTCAAATCGGCCGACATCAAGAACAACATCGCCCTATGCTACTTTGCCGTGTGTCTCGCCTGCTTCGGGTAAGTTGCGCTCCCGTCAGGGGCCTGTTGCCTAATGGAAGAAGTTCACGTAAAGCTAATCCGGTCCTTTCCAGCATGTACCCGATCCTGCCCGGAGTCAACGCCTGGAACGTCGCAAACACGCCGAGCCCCACGAAGCGAGCCATCAGCATTGGATTCCTGGTATGCGTTGGTAACATTGGCGGCCTTATTGGCAGCTACATCTACATCGACAAGGAATCGCCCAGATACCCCACTGGCTTTGGCACATCTTTCGGATTTGCCTCGTCGGGCATTGTTGCTGCCATTACGCTCGAGCTTCTCCTGCTTAGACTCAACAAGAAGAAGGCGCTTATGAGCGAGGAAGAGGTCAGGCAGAGGTACACCGACGAGGAACTTGACCGCATGGGAGAGAAGAGCCCACTGTTCAAGTATGCTATCTGAACAGAAGCCATGACTTATGACATTTATTTACTGCGAATTCTAATTATTTCACTGATGACTATTGCAAAACCATAATAATTTGGAAAGCGGCCTCTGGGTTTCTTGTTTTCTTGGTCCTAAAAAGAGGGTGATGATTACAGCAACATTTCAGCTTGATGAAACTCTGTCTTGATGAGAGACAAAGTGACTCCATATTCAGAGCGCGATTCCTGCAGTGACGGGTCGAAAGACTATAACAGGTCTCCGTATAAAATCGCCAAATGATCCCAACTCTGGCATTACAAACGAACTGATGCTAAGGAGAACCGCAACCCACCTCAGTGGAGCATCAATTCTATGAACACGGCCGGTTGGCCCAATGGCAAGGCGTCTGACTACGATTCATCGGGTCATCAGGAGATTCTGGGTTCGACCCCCAGGCTGGTCAAATGAGTTGAAACTTTTGGCTGTGCTGTTCTTTTAGACAAAACTTTCGGCATGTCTGAATCGCTCAAATAGATCAGCGCACGCCTTTCGTTTTTGTGCCTTATTGTATGCCCTAAGGTGCTGTGATTCTGTGATACTGCTGACTGGGAAGACAGTTAAAATACGAAACATATGCTACTGCAGGGTGTTTTCCTATTCTTCCGTTGTCCCCCTCTTGCTTCTATTGAGCCATTAGCAACCTAGCTGCTCGTAGACGGCACGAAACGCTTCAAACTGTTTGAACCCCTTGACCTTGGGTCCGATCATAGGCTCCATCCCGTCTTCCGCCTTTTTCAGTGCCTCGCGGTAAGCAGGACGCTCTGCAACGTTCCCCAAGTACCTCAGGATGTTACTATACGGCGACAGGTCCAGGAGAGGGTAGAAACCGCGCAGAGTGCTGAGGGTGCAGACGGCCATGATGTCTGCCGCGCTCAGGTCCTGTCCGGCGAGCCATTTGTTGCCGGCCAAGCGGTTGTCGAAGAGCTTCAGGGTGCTGTGAATCCTGGCGTCTGTTGCCTGACCGACGCGGCTTTCCGAGGCGCCCGCGAACAAGAGAGTCATGGCGCGCATCACGGTGGGGTGAAGGGTGCCGTTGGCGAAATGGAACCACTCGAGGTAGGGAGCGTAGTCGGGGTCATCGGGGGTTCGTCGCAGCCTGGGCGCGCCGGAGCCGACCTTGGAGGCGTGGACCGTGAGGATGTACTCGACAATGGCGCCCGACTCGGAGATCTCGACCGGTGGCGAAACAGTGCTGTCGCGGAAATACGGCGCGGTACCGGCGGGGTTCTGACGTGATTTAGTTGGCATGATCCCTGGCGTGGACGTCTCCGACACTCACGAGATCCTTGATCTCCTTGGGCGCGAGACCAGACTTGGGGTCCCGATCAAAGACGTGCAGCTTGTAGGGAATCTGCAACTCCTGCCGTGCGCCTGTTAGTATGTGGCTGCTGGCACAGGTTGACCTCGGCTGCTCACCTCCAGCAGCCACACGATCCTCTCGGACTGCGACAGCCGCAAGTGAAAAACCTCGATGGACATGATTGGAGAAATATCTCGAGCAAGCAAGATTTCGGGTGGGCGTGTGTGTCTTGTTTTCGGTTGCAATGCGGCCTGGGTAAATGTTGTGAGTGGCCGCTCTGTTGTTTCTTATAATATAGAAGGTTCACTAGGGCATCTACGAGGTCCCCGAGTTAAAGTGTATTCCACCTCCAGTCTCGCCATTTTGACGTCAGGGTGGTTGGGCACATTATTCGTGAGGGGAGGTGTGGCAGCGGTCAGGGTTCCAGCGGAGGGTTGTGGATGTGACACTGGAGGCCGCTGTCCACTTGCGAGGGGCCAACGGAGCAACGGACAGGGGCCCGGCTTGGGTAACCCGGGTCGACCTTTCGACCCGTCCCGTCCAGTGCTTTCAAAATGTGAAGCTGGTTGCCGATATGGGTACCAAGCATAACAGTTCCGGCTGTACCTGTAGGGTGCAAGTTTGTCCAAGTCTGTTGCTTGTCCAGGTTCTCGAGACCTCGGGTACATAATAAGCATGGTACTTATACTGTGTTTTACTTACCGTATCACTATTACTGCGTACCTGTGCGACCTCGAGAAGCCGTTGATAACGTACCTCGGACTTCGGAGATAATAAGCCTTTCAGCTGCATTCCTAGCCTCGCATATCGAAATACGTACGATAGGGTAGGGTTTAGTGATAAGGGGTAGCGTAGCTAGGACCCGGGTTCGGGTTGTCATTGAGGCAATTCCACTAGTGCACAAGTTAATACAGCCTGTACGACTGACTACCTATCCGGCAGTGGTAGTCCAAAGTTATACATGGCGCGTGTATAAGCACATGCTAATCTGGGTATCTGAGACTACCTACATAGTCAGCTATGTCATAGACAAAGGCCAGTACCTAATTAGGTAATAGGTACATGCGTGCACCATGCATGTGGCTTTGCCCGATCTCGGCCATGAAACCGCATGATCGGGTAGCGCCATGTGGCTCAGATCTGGACAGAAACAAGTCTTTGGGCACAGGTATACAAATACTTGTACAATGGCACCTTTCAATAAAGGGCACGCCTGAAGACAGAGGAGGGGAGGGCGGTAGGAATGCTTGGAGAACAATAAACCCGCGCTTGCCGGGGGGGCGAGACGAGTGTTTAAGTCGTCCAGGGATGAGTGACTGGCTAGGTAGCCGGCTGGCTGTCTTTACCCCGCATCCAAGTACCTAGCAGCACTTGTGCGTGGAGAAGGGAAAGAAAGGGGACACACGATGCGCATGGGGGGAGGGTGTCGCGTCTATTATTTGCTGTTCTCGTGGAACTAGGCTGTGTGAAGTGAAGGTCGGTCCCCTTAATAATCAGCGCGCCCTGGTCCCCTTTCCTCCCTCTACCTATTCTGCATTGCTTTTCCGAGTCTAATTTTTCTCCCTTGACTCCAAGTTTGCGCCTCACGTCACACACATGTTATGTCCGCGGACTCGAGTCTTCTGATGTCAACAACTCCTGACTACGTATGACCCGCGCACGGAAACGCTGGGCACGGCATTGGACAGAGAGCACATCACATGTTGGCCTCGCAGCACCTCGTAGCATATTCGGTCAGCGTGGGGCTAGAGCCGCCGAGTTGAGTTGCGCCCGTTAGTGGTGGTGATTTGCTGATCGAACCGGGGACCTTTCTGCGGTAGCCGCCCCCCCTCCCCTTCCCTCCAGCCCATCCCATCCCCCTCCCCTCCACCCGGAGAAACGGACTTGATTCAGTGGAACTGTCAGCAAACACTCGTCGGGGGATCCGGATACTCGTTCCTTTCCATAGGATGGCAGACGCGCCCGCAGCATCCACTGAAGCTGGCCTCCGGGATGAGGGCGGCCCTGGTGCACCCACACCTGCATCAAACATATCTCAACCCTCGCCGTCGAGTCTCCCGTCAACCAGCTCAGAGCGAAGGAAACGCAGTCTGCCTGAAGGATCGCCCGATGAAGGCCGGTCGTCGTCCGCGGCTGCCGCAGCCGCCGCGGCCAACCGACGAAGGAGTCATAAAGTCAGCCGCGCCTGCGATTACTGCAAGGCAAAGAAGCTAAAGTGCTCCGGCACCATCCCCTGCGATGTGTGTACGAGGAAGCGGCTTGCATGCATCTATGATGCAAGCTACCGCCGAGGCAGGCCTCCGACCCCTCCTCCGGCAACCGCGAGCCCTCGGCATCCGACAACCGGAGCAACGTTGGCACCCTTGCTCTCCCCCATCGAGGCCCAAAGGTTTGTCGTCATCGCAACACGGGAGGAACCTTACAGGATGAGTGGATTGACCAGTCACAGAAGACCGCTTCCCACCAAGGCGCCCCTCCAGCTGCAGCCTCCCGGAGCGGCATTCCCCGGCCTGGCCATGGGGACCGCTGCCCGCTCCTCGCTTCCCGAGTCCGGAGCCGTCAACTCGGATGCTGGGGGGAACGGCAGCTTTCCGCCGACGTCCAGGGCATCGCCAGAAGTCGAGATCGCCGAGATCGAGGGCCAGTACTTTGACAACACGTCCAGCCTGACGTTCCTTCACCGGGCCTGGAAGCGGCTCTCGTCACAGAGGTCCAACGGCAGCGGCGTCCCGGGACACATGCCCAGCGGCGTCGAGCAGCACCAGAAGCTCACGAGGGCAGGCGACAAGCCGTTCGAATCGCATACCCTCGACCCCTCCACTCTGCCCGACCGGGCCACGGGCTTGGGGATGATGCGGTTCTACTTCGACGTCTGCGTGGTGACATACCGCTGCCTGCACCAAGGGTACGTCACCGAGTGGCTCGAGGCGCTGCTTGCGAACGCGCAGAACAACCGACCTCTGCATCGCGACATAGGGCATGCCAAGGCCGCGATCGTCATGGCCATCCTCGCCATCGTCACGCTGCGGCAAAGCAAGGTCCGGGGTGTTGGGTCGGAGCAGAGCTCCGATCTGCGCCGCAGCGACGCCTACTTCTGCGAGGCCCTGAGACTGACAGAGATGGAGGTCGGCCTGCCGAAGCTCGAGTCGGCACAGTCCCGCATTCTGCAGGGCCTCTACCTCCTCCAGACGACGCGTATGAACCAAGCATGGTATGTCTTTGGAAGCATACTCCCCATCGTCTCGGCGCTGGGTCTGCATCGGAAATCCGGGCGCAACAGGGGCAGCAGCGACAGGGACTACATCGTATCGCAGTGCAGGAAGAGGACCTTCTGGGTGGCCTACACCATTGACAAATACCTGTCCGTCGTGTTTGGCCGCCCGCGGATGTACCACGACGAAGACATCGATCAGGACTTCCCAGACTGCGTCAACGACGAAGAGATGACGCCCCAGGGGAGGTCGAGGGACGAGCCCGAGATGGACTGCCACGTCGAGAGTCTGATCTTCCACGCCAAGCTCGCCCAGCTCATCGACGGCATCTCGCGCGAGGTGTACGCGATAAAACACATACCCAAGCATGACCGCCTCATGGCAGCCCATCAATACGGCCAGGCCCTCCACCAGTGGCGCGAGTCGCTGCCGCACCACCTCGGCACGGTCCGGCCAATGTCGCTGATCCCGTCCTTCAGGCGGCAAAACACGGCCCTCAAGCTGGCGTACTGCCACGCCATCATGCACGCCAACCGCCCGTTCCTCCTTGGCACGGGGGCCTCCAAGAGCAACCAGGGGTCTGCGCTGGAGGACAGCGTGGACGAGTGCATCAACGCCGCCAAGGTCGCGCTCGAGACCGTCGACGGGATGGCCAGCGACGGGACCCTGTTCCACGCCTTCTGGTGGACGCCGTACGTGACGTTCTGCGCGCTGGCCGTCGTGTACGTGTGGGAGATCCAGCGGGGGCGGAAGGACGGCGAGAACGGGCTCTTTGAGCTCGCGGACCGGTGCCAGAACCACTTGACGGATGCGACGGCCGCCGAGAGCCCCGGCCGCCGATACAGCGTCATCCTCGAAGAGCTCCGGCAGGAGGCCAAGTACCATTCCACC